CCCCCCCCCCCCCCCCCCCTTCGGCAGGCGCCTCATGGGGTTGGCATTCTCTCCTGATATCGCCCCCATGCCCCGACAGGCAAGTCCCTGACTCGATTCTCTCCCCCAGATTGTCACCATCTGCGCCATGTTGAGCGTCAACAGCTCGGTCTTCTATGCGCCGAAAGACCGCAAGTCCGAGTCGGAGAATGCCCGCCTGGCGCTGACACGTCCCCATGGCGACCATATGACCCTGCTGAATGTTTGGAACTCGGTACGTCGTGTGGCCCGGTGCTGGCCCCGCGCTTCCCTCCCCTCGCAAGATCTGCACCCACACCCCCGCACCGGCGTGCGATGCTGACATGGAAATAATTTCCACAGTGGGTCGAGACCAACTATTCGGTTCAGTGGTGCTTCGAGAACTTCATCCAGTATCGCTCGATGAACCATGCGCGCGATGTGCGCGACCAGCTTCTCAAGCTGCTGGAGCGCGTGGAGATCAAGCTTGTGTCCAATGAGGAGGACGACATTGCCATTCGCAAGGCCATCACAGCCGGGTTCTTCTATCACGCGGCCCAGAAGAACATCTCCGGCAAGGATTTCCGCACCAGCAAGTCCAACCAAACTGTGCTCGTACGTCTGCGATATCCCCCCCCCCCCCCTGCCTCGCCCTGGCCGCTGGTACATGTCCTCACCTGGAATGCTTGCACTTGCTTTGGCTGGTCCTCCTGTTGCCAGATCCACCCCTCGTCCACCCTTCACAAGACGCCGGTCGAGTGGGTTGTCTACCACGAGCTGATGCTCACCTCGCGGGAGTTCATGCGCCAGGTGACGGAGATCGACCCGACATGGCTGGTGGAGGTGGCCCCGCACTACTACTCTGGCAGCGACATCACTGGGTCCGAAACCAGTGGCAAGGGATTCCATGGCGAAAAGCGCCACAAGTCCTCGGGAAGCGCCCTCCGCTGATGGCCAGCCACCTGTCCATGGGACGGGAGCCAAGCAGATTGCCTGTGTAGCAACATGAAGTCCCCCCCCCCCCCCATGTGGCAGTGTAAGGATGTGCATCGTGTGTTGTTTTTTCTTCGATTCATTTTCCGGCGGAGGGAGGGGAGCAAGGAATGGCTGTGCACATGGGGTTCGCGCGCGCGCTCTCTCCCTCTCTTTGTGTGTGCTGTGACGGGGCAACTCCTGCCAGGGCCGTCACAATGTGCCCAAGCTCGAGGCTATTGCGTCAGCCACTCGAGCCCCACAAGGTCTGTGTATGTCGGGCGCATGCTGCGATCGCCGTTCCAGCATCTCACCGCCAGGTCGAGCAGTGACCGGACATGCGGGGCATCCAAGTCCAGGCGGATGGCCGCCTGGTCAACAGGTGGGCGCTGATCGGACAGGACCATGGTCTGGATCTCGGTCGTAGAGAGGTCTGTTCGAGCGAGGGAGAGAGCAAGGGCGCGGAGGAGGGGAGGAGAGAGGGAGACAGACAAAGAAAGTCAAAGGAAGGGGCGTTAGCATGGATGGCGGCACGTCAATGGCACGAGCGGTGGAGTGGACAAAGCCTCCCGGCGTACTCTTCCACGGGGTCGACTTGGACACCATACTCCAGAGGAGAATCCCGAGGGCGTAGATATCGGACTCCAGGAAGATGGTCGCCTCGACGCGAGAAACGCCCTTGGGCAGGGTGAAAATGCGGATCATCTGCAACGCATGGTGGGTTGTCGGTGGCAAGTGGCAGGGCGTCAGGGCGGAGTGTGTGGGCGGGGGCGGCGATGTGGGCGTGTGCGAACCTCGGGCGAGGCGAATTTGATGCTCATGCCGACGATCTCGGTTTTGATGGTGAGGGTTGTTTCCCGGGCCACGGCACGCGAAACGCCGAAGTCCGTCAGCACGCCGCTCAGCCGGCCGGTTTGCGTGCAAACCGACAGCAGCACATTGCCGGGCTTCAAGTCGCAATGGGCAATCCCTTCCCCATGGAGGAAGACCATGCCGTTGACTGGTGACCAAAGTGCCGGCCATTGGCCGCCATCGATGATGTGAGTCGCTGGAAAAAAAAGCAGAGAGAGCGCGAGAGGGAGAGACAGGGGCGGGGGCAGCGGGCAACGGCCGACGAGCGAGAGGGCCGCCGGGCATTCGTGACTCGGACATGGGGACATGCCCATGCTCAACGCACCAACATCGCTTGCCACGCGGAAGGTATTGACACTGTCAAGTTCGATCTCGTCTCGGTGAAGGAGGTTCTCCAGGTTTTCGCTGTAGTACGTCATGACAATAGCTCGAGGCGTGGCGGAGTAGCCGATCATCCGGGCCACATGTGGCGACCCTTGAAGTGCCCTAAGGACAGGAGGGAGTCAGACGGATGGCTTACGTGCATGCGTCTGTGCATGCATGCATGTATGCATGCATGTGTGTGTGTGTGTGTGTGTCCGACCGTGTTCGGGGGAGGACAGGAGGGCAAGGGCAGGCCGGCGGAGGACTCAACGTACCACATGATGGACACTTCATTTTGGAAGGCGCCCTCCGCATCGCTGGGCAGCAGGGAGCCTGGCCAATGGACGGGCAGGCATGTTAGTCTGCAAGGAGAGGCGATGAGGTCTCCAGCACCGGCGCCAGGGGCCTAAGGGGGGGGCATATGACGCACTGTTGAAGAGCTTGATGGCGGCCCATTCGCTGTCGGCCCGCTGGCGACACGCCTGGGACAGGATGCGCGCCTTGTAGACGCTGGCCTGGGACCCCTGGCCGAGGAGGGCGTCGTCCTCCTCCTCGGTGGGCGCTTTGTCGCGGTAGAAGTCGATGTCCAAATTGACCAGCAGGAAGCCGGGGAGCGAAAGGTCTGGCAGGGCGGTGGCGGTGGTGGCGGAGGCGTCGGAAGCGGGGCCCGAGTGTCAGACGGTGGGCATAATGTGTCGCGGGGCAGTAGTGGCGGTGCGTGCGAGGATCGGCAGCAGCCCGTGTCCATGGACCGAGCCGCCTCTGCGTACGGGTGATGGTATTGAGCACGGTCATGTCGTAGCTCTGGGCCGGGGGAACGGGAGCGAAGCGGGCGAGTGGTGAGCGGGACAAGCCCAGGAAAAGGGCCGGAGATGTGGCAAGGGGCGTCCCCCAACGCACGAGCTGTGCCGACTCGCTGTCGGCCGGGTCGATATCCCGCCGGGATTTGGTCGCCGTCGAGCGCCTCGAGGATCGGGAGTACAGCAAAACCACCACGGCCGCCAGCAGAAGGAGAACCACCAGACCCGACACCACGCTGGCCGGGATGATGATCTCCAAACGGGCGCTGGAGGCTGATGTTTGTGCCGGGGTGAGGGCGTCAGAAAGGCCCGGGCAAGCGAAAGCACCCCCCCCCCCCCCCCCCCCCCGCGTTGGGACCCCCCCCAGCGCCCCCCCGGTCCCAGCCCGGCCTATCACCTCTCCCTCCTGCCGGCGGCCTCAAGTGTTGCCCGTTGCCCGTCGCCCGACCAGGGGCCGGGGAGAAACCCTGGGGACAAGTGGGAAACGGCGCGTTACTCGGCTTCGCCCCTTGTCCCTTGTCCTTCCTCCGGCGGGTCGCCCGTGTGCATAGGGCCCTTGAGGAATCTGTACCGGCTCCGGCTTCGGCTCTGCGGCTCTGCCTGCGCGAGCACCCCGTGCATCCTCCTCTTCTCACTCACGCACGCACGTCCTCTTCTCGATCCCTTCCCCGGCAGCGGGGGACCGGCCCTCGCGACGGGGAACAGGGGGGAAGGGGGTCAAGAGCCCTCTCTCTCTCTCTCTCTCCCCCCCCCCCCCCCCCCCCCCAAGGCAGGGCCGGCCACCGATGGGTGCCTGGACCGCGGACCGCACGGTGGCCCGCGTGCGGCCCCTACAGCCTCCCCCCCCCCGCCCCCTCCCCGTGTTCAGATTCACGCACGCTTGTCGGGCTCCTCGGGGCAGGTCTGATCAAGTTCGCACCAGAGGACCTGGCAGGCATCGAGGCCGGGCCCGTTGCAGGTGGCACACTTGGCATGGCAGGCCAGGCATACACCGCCACCGGCCCCGGGAAGCGTGCCACCATACCATCCCTCCGGGCAGCTGGCCAGGCATGCGAGGGTGCCGGGGCCAGCAATGGAGCTGGCGCCGGAGGCCGAGGGCTCGGCCTGGGCCAGCCAGAAATCCACCTGGCAGCGGCTGCACGTGGGCTCGGGCCCGGACGCCTGGTCGGGCGGCCGGCAGATCAGGCAGCTGCTCGGGCAGGCCTGGCACACGCCATTGACCTCGACAAATTGGGTCGCCGGACAGGATGCCACGCAGGTGCCCTCGTGGAGGACGAGGCCCGGCTTGCATCGGATGCATTGCGATTCGGGGGGCCCGGTGCACTTGTCGCAGCCCTGCGGGCAGGCAATGCATTGGCCGAGATCCGCGGCGGGAAGCCCGGGATCAGCCGCCCACGCGGCCTCGTAGTACCCGCTCGGACACTCAGGCACACAGGCCCCCGGTGCCAGGGCAAAGTGCCCCACAGGACATGCCTCACAGGCGGAGGGAGACTCGGCCAGGGAGCACCGGGCACACGAGGCATGGCAGGCCCGGCACCGGCGGATCGAGTAATCCGCATGTGTCGGCGCGGGTCGAGCCTCCCCAGTGGGGCATTCCGCCGAGCAAGATCCCCCCAGGCTGGCCCACATGCTGGGCCCGGCGCATTCGGTACAGAAATCAACTCGCCCGGAGCAGGCGGCGCACAGCCCGGCACAGGGTTCGCACAGGCTGGTCGTTGGGTTGCCCCATGTCCCGGCGGGACAAGTGCTGAAGCAAGTGCCCAGAGTCATGCCAATGTATGCTGTGGAGCCGGAGTCTGGGACCGAGCCGGAGCCTGGGGCCGAGCCGGAGCCTGGGGCCGAGCCGGAGTCTGGGGCCGAGCCGGAGCCTGGGGCCGAGCCGGAGCCTGGGGCCGAGCTGGAACTCGACGCCGAGTTGGAACTCGACGCCGAGCCGGGCTCGGGACTGCTGGGCAGGAAGAACCACTTGGCCACACATTGCCCACATTCACTGGCCAGGGGCCCGGAGCAGATGGCACACCCCGTCGGGCAGGGCTGGCAGGTGCCGGTCCCATTGGCCGGCGCATGGCCATACATGCCGCCCGGGCAGTGGATCAGGCACTCGCCATTGTGCAGGAAAGTCCCGGCTATGCAGCTGAAGCAGGCATTCTTGCCCGGGCCGGAGCAGCTGGCACATGTGCCAAAGCAGGGCAGGCACTCGCTGATGGCATAGTCGGCATAGAGGCCGGCAGGGCAGGTGGACACGCAGCGCTGCGAGCCGGCGTCCCGGACGAGAAGCCGGCCCCGGTTGCACACCAGGCACTGGGTGGCTGCCGGGCCGTTGCACTGGAGGCAGGTGTCGTGGCAGCGGCTGCACATGGTCGGGGAAGATTGGAACCAGCCATTGACCTCGCAAGATTCCCGGCACTGGCCGGCCTGTTGCAGGCTCCCCGGGGGACAGAGGGTGCACTGGTTGAAGCCGGACCCGCCGGCACACTCGGCGCATGTGTCATGGCAGGGAGCGCAGAATCCCGGGAGCTGGGCATACTTCGAGGGGCAGGCCTGGACGCACTGATCCCCGAGCAGGTACCAGTTTGTCTGGCAGCTGATGCACAGCGAGTCCTCGCGGTCGCCGCCCGGGACACGGAGCCTGCATGAGGCGCATCCCTCCCGGCAGATGGCACACTGGGAGGGGTCATTCATGCAGTCTTCGACACAGTCGCTGGCCGTCACCGGGGGGCTTGGAGCTGGCGGCTGGCGCAGGACCAGCGGTGGCGGGCAGGCGGTACAGGCGGTGGCCAGGTTGGATGTTTCGCAATCCAGGCAGGATGGATGGCACGGCTGGCAGGTTGGCGTGGGGCTCGTCGGTGTCAAGTACCACCCGACCGAGCAGACATCCACGCACACGCCCTCCTGCAGCGCCAGCCCCGGGGCGCATTCCTTGCAGATCCGGTGCGAGCTCGAGCAGTCGAGGCACTGCCGGTCCTGGCAGGGCACGCACATGAGCCGCTCCAGATCCGGAGCCAGCGAGTCCGGGCAGGTGGCCACACAATTGGGCCCGAAGGCGTAGGACGACGGCTGGCACTGGGAGCAGGAGCACATATTGTCACACGACAGGCACTTGGCCCCGCACCGGATACACGCCCGCGAAAAGGGGTTCATGAAATGGTCCGACGGACAGGCGTCCACGCAGCCATTTTTGTAGTAGACTTTCGGGGGTTCGCACAGCCTGGTGTAGCCATCGCTGGAGTCGTCGCATGGGAGGCGCGGATCATACTCGTAGTCCGGGTCCACGAGTATGTGGGGCTCCAGCTGCAGCTCCATCAGCATGTAGCCGTCCGGATCCAGGATGTAATCCGTCACGGCCAGCGGGTTGTCGCTGGCCGCGGGGGATCCATGAGTTGGGGAAAGGGCGGCCAGGCGTCCCGGGACCCAGGCACCCAGCCAGACGGTCAGCCAGAGGACCCACAGTCGCTCGGCCGCACGAGGGTACATGGGTCCGGGGCGCAGGGGGATGGCCGGCGTCAGGGGGAGACGAAGGGGAAGGAGGGGAGAGGGAGGGGAAGGAGGGGAGAGGGAGGGGAAGGAGGGGAGAGGGAGAGGAAGG